TTTAATTTAGAATCTTTAATACATTATTTAAAAAAATGTTATATTCTTATCTGTTAACTTTATTAAAAGCAAGAGATTCTAAAGATTTTACAAATTAAATTTAGTATTAAGAGTATTTCTATTGTCACATTGTCAATATCAAAAAAATTATGTCAAATATTTAGTCAACAGAACACACAAAGTTCAACCAAGTCAACAAAAAATTTTGATTTGTATTAACAAAAAAAAAAAACAAATTTCATTTCCAAATGTACGTTTAAAATATGAAGATTTAGCCACTCAAGCAGAGTTCCGCCACGCTTAGCAGATTGCCATAAAATAGACCAGAGAAGATCGGCAATATGACGCCAATAATCGTGCTGCTCTTCCTGTACATCATTCTGGATGTCAATTATTTTATTCGCTGTGCATTCACGCTGCTGATGGTGCACCTGAACCAAGAGAAGCAGGCAATCACGGAGACGACAAGCATCTATGGCATTTGTACGCCACAAGATGCGGACATCTTTCTGCGGCACATGAACAACGCACGATATCTGCGCGAGCTGAACTTTGCGAGTATTCATTATTATGTGGTAACCGATGTGTTCAATTTTGTGCGTGAGAGGGGCGGCTCAATAGTACAAAGCGCAGTGATGCTGAGATATCGACGTTACCTACCCATCTTACATCCATACAAGATCGAGACGAAATTGATCTGGTGGGACGAGAAATCCATGTACTTTGAGCAGCACTTTATCTCCGTTTGCACTGGATTCGTGCACGCCGTGGCCCTCTCCAAGCATCAGTTCATCGATTTCAATGTGTTCGATTTGCTGAGCTCTTACCCCGATATTGCAAATCGGCCGGAAATACCCGATGATCTTAGGCTCTGGCTGGAGGCCAACGATGTCTCGAGTAAAAAACTATATACAGGCGGCTCTCTGGAAAACGAAAACTTTTACGATTGTCGAGCATATATTTAGTAACCATTTTATAGATTATCGCCACAATCGAGACTAACAAATTTTTACATTTAATCACATAAATGCAATTTCATCAATAAAAAATGCTTTCTTTGAGATAAAAATTGGGAATAGCTTATGCTTAATATCTGCTTAAAATATCAGTTCAAATTGACAGAAATTATCAATCACTTACAACTTCATTCATAAGCCTGAGGAATAACTACTTAATAATAAATATAAAATAATAATTATGAATGTGCCTAAATCAGGAAATAAAAAAAAAAAAAAAAAAAAAAAAAAAAAAATCCATCTCGATATTTTAAGTTTCTGCGTAAATAAAAAAAATTAATATATGGGATGTGTCGAAATCAAGAAATAATTCCATAATGCAAATATTTTTATATTATGTACACAAATATTATTATATTATTAATGCAAATATTGCTATATAATTTAATTATGAATTACGATTTTTTTATCACAATTATAATTGGTTTATTCCAATGTACTATTAAATAATAACGAAAATATAATAATCAGTATTTTCATTATTATTATAACTTATTTATTTCAATATATCATATGAGATTCACATTTAGTATATTGGGCCATTCATTTAGATTAACCGTTAAACGCTCTAATCTGCAACTAATTTAGTTAATTTTACTCTCAAAGAAATATTGATAGCAGTTTTCTGCTTAAGCAATTACCCATACATCACTTAAAATGCATATATGTATGTGTAACCTGTCAGCATGCATGTACGTATATTTATCATGCACGTATGTGTGTCTGGCATACATGTACGATTCGTGTTTGCCAGCTTATGGTTCACAGCCGCAGGGCACACATCATGTTGCATATATGTATGTATGCATATCAGAGGCTTTGCTGCAGAGTGCTCTTGTTTTTGCCTGGCCCATTTATATCAATTTCAATTAGTTTGTGGCGTACTTTTTGCCAAACATGCCCCCACTCTCTCTCTATCTCTCTCTCTCTCTCTCTCGCTCTCTCTCTTTATGCTGGCCAAAACTTGGCACTGGCTCAAAATCCAAATTAATAAACATTACAATTGCGGCAACAAGCAAATTTGTATAGTCATAATCGCTTCAATCTGTCTGCTTCCCACTTTGCCTGCCTGTCTGACTGGCTGCCAACCAGTGTTGGCTAAGTGCATTTGAACCTGCGGCTTTTCCAACGGAAGCCGCATTTGGCAAATACGTTAAGCTGAAAGCCTCAAATGCAGGTAAAACCCAACAGCAAATAATAAATAGCTGAACGAGCTAACGACAAGAGAAATTAAACAGAATGCATATAATTTAAATGAAGTAAGTTGCAGATATTATTTCAATTAAGACATTTGTAGCACTATTGTTGAGTGCATTTTTAAATACATAATTAATAATAATTATTTATTTTTAAAAATGTTATTAATTCAAATTGTCGTTTTCGTAAAAAAAAATTGTTTTTTATGTAAACTTTATTATTTTTATCACCTGAAGTTATTCTAAAAAATTAAATTCACAAAAAAAAAAAATAATAATAATAGTATTTGACTTAGACCGAGTTTGGATGTGCTTATATATATAGAATTAGAACGACCAAGGCTAAGCCGGCAAGGCCACATAAACCGATTAACAACTCACTTGAGTCATCTTCGTGATCTATTTCTGGTTCTATTGCCTTAAGGGCCTCGTCATATCCGCATATCTCTGGAATTGTGCAATTGCCATTTGGTGGACAATCCATATTGCATTTATTTCGACATCGATTAGTAATCGCTTGCATATAGTCGGGACAGCGACTTTCAATCAGGACAGGCATATAGTTATTTTCCTAAATAGATATATATGTATATATGAATGTCTAAATTATGATTAGAATGATCAAAATGATCATTCTAATCATAATTTAGACATTCACCTTCCGCCGATCCATATAGCCATGTAGTACATATACTTGTACCGTTAGTATTTCGCGAAGTAAGCTGAAGAATAACTAAGCAGAGGCAAGCTTTATTAACTTTTCGTTGACTAAACATATTCCTATATAAAATGTCAATTGCTTCGCAGAGCATTCACCTGAGAACTAAGCGAAACCATTTTATGCATTATATATCCCAATGTAACTTTATAAATAATTTGCACTTGGAGAAAAAAGCTGAACTTCTAAATATGCCAACAATAATATTTCTTTATTAAAAATATAATTATTGAAATAATGACTTATTATGAATTATTATTCTTATAAATTATTTTATTAATAATTGTTGAATTTTCTTCAGTGTAGATAAACCCACTCAGTGACTGCTACGATTGCTGTTACGATTATAGCCACTGAGTAATTTTGCTTTTTATATTACTGATATAAAATTCCAGTCGTTTATTTGTAAGGCCGCATACAGCAGTTGATTAAGCTCAAACTGTTAGAAATTAGAGCCTATTAGGACTCCCTGAGGTTCACTTAAATTAATATCCACTAACAATACACAATTGGACAGTTATCCAACGATAACTATTGGGCCTTAGTGCATTTGTATAGGTAATTACTGTCAAAGCTGCACTAGAGAAGACTGTGTGATATTTATAGTACAAAATATTAAAGGAGAAAAAATAAAGTAGTTTAACAAAATTGTGGCTCCTTAAAAAATGTAATATTTTCTAAATATATTAATGCCAATAAAATTGGAGTACTTAAACTATACTATACTGTATATATTACAGCAGAAATAATAAATTTTAAAAATTTGTGTAAAAAACAAAAATTGATATATCCACGTAAACTTTGAATTAAAAAAAATAAATAAATTTTGTTTATAATTGGGGTTTGATGACGATAAAAATGTTTCCGGTCTGTAAATTATTATTTAATATACTTTTTATAAATTTTTGAAGACTATGTGTAATTTTTTTGACTCATCCGAGTAGGTTTATATTATAGATCTGCATATAGATTAAATATTTATTTTTAATTTCAAATTTTATATATAAAATTTGAAGTAAACTCTGAATGGAAAAAAAAATTTTTTTATGTACAAAAATTCAACCTTTAAGACGATGAAAAGTTGCCAGTCCATAAAATATTATTTCATATAATTTTAA